CATTTCCTGTCTACTAATCTTTCCCCACGGCAGAGCCAGGACCCTCCTTCATACCAGCTGACACCCTGAGGATCCAGAGCTTCCCCCCTCTGCTCTTGGGAGCCGGCACTCCCCTGAGCCCTGCCTGGCTACTCTTTTCACGGGTTCTTCCTAGACCCTGGGCAGGTTCTTCAAGTGTTTGCTGATTTTTTTTTTCTCAGTTGTGTTCCCAGGGGCCTCTCTGTGTCCCTGGGATTTCCCCGCTTGGCTCTCTCCTTTCTGAGAACTGCAGCTGCCTTGACTCCCGGCATCTGTGCTCTGCCTCTTCTCTCTTTCCCAGCCTGAGCCTGGGTTTCCTTCCCCAAGCTGCCACCCAGAAGCCTTGCACCGTGGGCTGGGACCCTCCTTCACCCACCTCCTTTCCTGAGTATGATGAAACTAATTCGCAGGACTTTCTGTCAGTCTCTGCTCTTTGGCCATAGGCCTCTGGGATGAGTCCACCTCCCTGCACTTCTCTTGGCCCTTTGCGAACACAAATGAACTAGATTCTTACTTCTTTTATGCCAAATGGCTTCTGTCTCAGCCTGCCAAGCTCAGGTACTGGAAGAGAACTTTATAAATGCATACAGCAACCACAAGTATGTCACATAAGAATACATTTTGTTTGTATTTCCAGCTGTTGACTTTAAGATCTACTTTGTACTTTGCATGGTATCAAAATTCTGCTTGGATTGTCTCCATCTCTCCTCTTTACCCTTAATGTATAAAATACAAAATAACGTAGACTTTTCAAGAAGAAAGCAACATCTTTAAAATCCATAGAAGAAGCCCCAATGAACTGCCTAAATTTTCTCCACAAATGTATGCAAGTTCCGCTTAAATAAATAAAAGCTTATCTGGAACGTGATCAATGTGATTTACCTATTCATCAAGTAAACAGGACAGCTGTGTCCTAGACGGTGACAGAAGCCCAATGTGACAAACGTTGTGCTCCTCACGACTTTCAGGCTCTTAGTGGAGGCAGAATGACAGGCGGTTAAGCATCGGTGAAATACTTGCTTTGATTCTGTAGAACAGACCTGCAAAGCAAAAGAGGCCATGAAGAAGGAGGGAAGAACGTGAATACGAGAGGCTGTATCTGCAGGGCTTGGCATAGAAGTGAGGAGAGCCAGCCCAGTGACTCGCGGGTTTCTGGATTACATTTTATTTTGTTTCTTTGTTTTGTTTTGTTTTGTTTTTTGAGTCAGGGTCTCACTATGTAGTTGAGACCGACCTGGAACTCACGATGTAGCCCAGGCTGGTCTTGAACTCACAGGGATCCTCCTGCCTCTGCCTCCCTAGTGCTGGGATTATAGGGGTGTGCCACCACGCCCGGCTTGGATTAAATTTTAAAATGGATGGTTTGTCACTGTTGCCTGGAATAGAGAATTCATGGGGGAACATATTAGGAGGGATTGTTTAAAATTGCTTTAGTAACCATTTTTATCTTCTAATTTGCACCACACTGTTAACAATTCTAAGTGGCAAATAATAGCAATTAGCTCCCTAAAGTAGCTTTTAAAAGCCATTTTTCTTTAGTATTACGTGTGATGCTGTTTTAATTTTATTCAAATTTGGATAGTTATAGCAGCAGTAAACCAGTAAATTGTAGCATATGGATTCAGTTAACCCGTCTGAGTGATCCCAAGTGAATCGAATCGCTTCATCATTCTGGGTACTGTATTAATATGAACGAGATTGACCTTACCGTTTCTCCACTTTTTATGATTCAATACTTCAAGTGGTTGCATCGTAATCAAACCTCAAAGAGCAGCTGAAAGAAATCCCAAGTATCAGGGTAAAATCTCTTCTGTAAGAAAATAAAAACCAAGGAGCAGATGTAGATATTGGAGGCTTAACGTCTGAGCTCTCCAGCCACAAGCTGTGCCACCGCTGGAACCTGTGCACTGGAACCCACGGCGTCCTCTCCCGCCCAGACCAGCTCAGATGCCAGGCTACACCCAGGAGCCAGCCCCTAAGAATATTTACCACACGTGGTAGTCAAAATTTATCTTCATCTCCACAGAAAAGATGCAACTTCAGTGTGAAGCAGCTAGGACTCTTGAGAGTACATTTTATGTTCACTAACCTGTTGGATCCTACTATTTTATAAGTAAGATAAAACTTACCAATGCCTAAACCTGCACATTTACACCCAAGTCCATAAACCACATAGGCTGAGTCCATTTTAGCAATGAGATCTCAGATACTTGCCAAGTTGTCACAAAGTGATGACAGTAGGATTGTGGTGTCAGCATTTCAATCCAGGGGTGACAGTGCCCTCACCATGGGCACAGAGGAGCTGAGACAAAGGTCTACTGCATTCCTGTCATGCAGCCTTCTTGACACACACACACACACACACACACACACACACACACACTCCACGCTTTGCACAGGATTGGGCTTATGGCATTTGCTGGGGCTACATTTTCACTTAGGAGTCAGCATCCAAGAGATGCTGCATTGAAGATGCTGTCCACAGAGGAAAATGCAGTCACTATCTTTGTAGTTTGGTGGTGTGGAGATGGTGTGAACCAGCAGCAGTGGGGAGCAGATATTACAGAAGCACCCTGAATGCTGTACGTATTTCCTGTTCAAAGCCTATGATGCTGCAAACACGAAGAACTCCTGAGTAGTGTCCATTGTAAAAGATAGACATCTATGAAAGATGGATTACAAGAAAAGAAACCTGGTAGGTATAATCAGGACAGTGGGATAGTAGCGACTGCTCCCGGTTAAAGCGAGTGAGGTGTGGACACATGGGCACCTACCTTTCTCTCTACTGGAGATGGGCTAATTAGATATTAGCAAGATTGCTTCTTCAATCCTCTAATAATCCTCCAAAGGCAGAAAAGGAGAAAAAGTGCCAGATTGTATTTTTCAAATGCAGTTGGGAAACATAGCCAGGCTGGCAGGGGGGAGCTGCCGAAAAGCACTGACCCAGCCTCCAACCCAGCCAGTGGCATCTGGAAGTTTGGATTTCGGGAAAGATCCCACCATGTGCCAACAGCGTGGCATGCACCAAACAGCTGTGGTCCTGGGGTCTCTGAAACTTGGGTCTGTGGCAGGCAGAGAAGTCAGCCTGCCAGACCCCCGTCAAGCTCCTGAGCACTGACTTTCGCGAGCTTCCCCACTGAGAGACTTCACCTGTGTCATCACAGCCACCTTCAGGATTTAGTGCCTGTGTGACTCCCCAGGAGCTACTCGTTTTGGTGCCTGTTTTGTTGGGGACCTGCGTGCACGGGCCTCTTCCCTCCTCTGGTTTAGCTTTGTAGCTTCTCCTTTTAATTAATTACAGCAGGCAATGTCCACACACGCAGGGTCCCACAAACGTTGCTACTTAGTCAAAGAAACTAGAAACATCTTGGCCATGCCTATCTCATGGGTCATAGGATTCATCCCAGTTCATAGCCTGAACTCCAGAGAGCACAGGAATCAGTAGCCTCACATTCTTTGGTAGGGGCAAAATAGTTTGGGTGAAAGAAGTGCAGACCCGCAGACCTTCCTTCCGGTTCAAGAAGAGGCCTACACCTATTCTGTCTATCAAAAAACAGGAAGTTCATACTCTCGAGAGAAAGCAGAAGAGTTCCTGGACCTCTGGGACTGGGGGCTGGAACTGAAAAAAGCATCTAATACCGAGAATGACAGTCAACTAGACACTGAGAGCCCAGCGCTCTCCCTTCCCTTGTCACCCTGATGTCTGCAGACTCGGCCCCTATCAGTCAGGCAGAGCAGGACACCGGGCGTCCCTGCAGGCCCCGCAAGAAAGGTTTCAGATTATGACAGCTTTCTGCCACCCATTCAGGCCCCACCGTGGCCCTGCAGTTGGTACAGTCACTGCTGTGTTTGACTGCCCGGCAGAATAACTGTTGAATGAGTGACAAGTCCATAGACACTAAACAACCTACTGGAATACAAGAGAACTGGCGAGTCGGACTGGAAGTAGAAGCCAATCCCAGTTTCCTGTATCCCTCTGGCGTGAGTAGTCCTTACCTCGTGGTGAGTGCCAACTCTGAATTGGATCTACCAAAAGTAAGATGTAGCTATGTGAAGACGGCGGGAGATGGGAAGCCTGCAGTGATGTGTTAGACACAGGAAAGGTGTCAGCCAGGAGACGTCAGGGTCCTGCCTTCCCAAGGCGCATGATTAATGCACGGTGCCTGTTATTGGAAAATTCAAGTTAGCTCTCTGGAAGTAAATGCAAAACTATTCAACTGAAAGATACCGGGAAAGAACAGAACAAGTTATCTTACTTACAATATAACTTAGAAAATGATTTAACTCTTGTTTTACATGTGTAGTTAACATTGATAAAAATATCTTAAAATATGGGCATAAGTAGGTGTATTATGTACTGTTGGGCAGACACTCTCTGCTCCCCTCCCCAGGACCCTCCCATCGCCGGGTGGAAGGAAGGTATCTGGGAGTGGGAGGAAGGAAGAAAAACAGTGTGTTGTGTTTATAGAGGAAGTGAGGAAATCCTGTGGATTAGAGGGTCATTATTTCATCTCCATGTGGATACTCAGACTCTAGTGCTTTGACTCTGTGATTCCAAGACTTACAATATCCATGAATCTTAAATACTATGTAGTCTACTAAGCAAAATATGCTCCCATCCTATTAACTTTAAACGTTTAAAGAAAACACCAAAATTTAACATCAGAATAATCAGTTTCTTGAGTTACCTATCAAGTGAAACAAAGATGGTTTATACAGAATTGGTGCTCTTTTCACATGTGATGTTGCTCATTGATTTAAAATCGTTTATGCAGGAGAATCTGCCGATTCTTTTTGGAGATGACTGGAGTACTGACCGTTCTGCAAAATGCCTGTTTCCTCATAAGTATGTTTCTAATTTTGTAGAGTAGCTTGGAGTTATCTCGGATTTGAAATTTTGGGTAACCTTATCTATCTTTAGAAGAAAGAAATTCCTCCTGGGATCTATGCAGTAGGGTAAGAAATGCTGCGTTTCTCTCCAGGAGTACCAGCCTTGCAACACCAACCCGTGTCCTGAGCTGAAGAAGACCACGCCCTGGACGCCGTGGACGCCCGTCAACATCTCTGACAACGGAGGCCACTATGAGCAGCGGTTCCGATACACCTGCAAAGCTCGCCTGCCAGATCCGAATCTGCTGGAGGTGGGAAGGCAGAGGATCGAGATGCGGTACTGTTCCAGTGACGGGACCAGCGGCTGCTCCACCGATGGTGAGTGGCAGTGCCCCCCACCCCCGGTCCAGAGGACTGCTCTTGTCGTGATGGGGCTCATGGGGGGAGATTCTCTTTGTGATTGTGGCTTAGCAGCTCTTGTCACAGTGACCTTGCAGAGCAGTATTCACTTAACAGAAATACCTTTACTATAAGAATTTAGCTGTACAAAGTAGCCCTTTATCTATGGTTCCCAGTGACTCCAAAGCAGGCACAGCAAGAGACAGGAGGAGATTAGCAGCACTAAATCATAAATAAAATAGAACAGCTATAAAAATAGAGTATAATAAAAGTTATGTGGTCTCCTTGAAAGAGTCAAGACGAATACCAATATTTTTGGCTTGTGGTTGAAACCACGGAGCATGAAGCCGTGAAAAGGAAATATACTGTACTAAGTTGACTGTGAATTCAATCCCCAGAGTAACACTGCGCTTATCACAGATCCAGAGGAGTTTGTGCCCAGTAAATCTCCCGGTGTTGCTATGGGAAGCTCGAAATGGTGAGCACTGCTATTCGTACAGACCTCAGGTCCCCAAGGCGTCTCCTGGGAGCTGGTTGGAGGCCAGCAGTTCCTGCTAAGCACCTTTTGCTTTAGAAGCATTTTCTTGTCTCCTTGTTCTGTCCTTACTGACATCCACTCCCCGCTTACTCCAGAGGACTGCTCTCTGTGGTTTAAGGGTTACACAAGCTTATTGTCCCTTAAATGGATACAGTAAGTCACACTGATGAAGGGTTTTATGAAAGTAGGCATACAGCATAAATAAAACCAACACTACCCAGCTAGAAAAATGAGCAACAAAATGACAGTTGCTCCTTATCAATCTTGCAAAATTCCAACATCATTAGCAGAATGTATATGGGGTAAAACTCTGTGCAAAAGATAACTGAAGACCCAGCTTAAAGATCTGCACGCTGTAAGGGGTGATCCTGTAATCTCCCAATGGAGTCATGATATAAAATGCAAGAATCCACATATAAATTTCAGGTATTTTCAGGATTTTTTCTGGTATAAGTGGGTACCGTGGCTTTTTTTTTTAAAAAATAGCTATGTCCCGTAGAACTTTTGTGGTTTAAGCAAGACCCGTGCAGTTTTTTGAAAGTGTAGAAGTGTATTATTTGGGAATGCTTATCCTAAAATGTTATTAGTTGTTTATCTGAAGTTTATGTCTACCTGATCTTCTTATCGTTCGTTGCCACTCCGGCAATCCTCTCTTCAATTTATTCACTCATTCCCTGATATCAAAATAGACCATGAATTGTCTCATTTCTCGTGGCATCAAGTGAAGGGGAAAGAAAGAGCAATGCTGTCTCTATAATGAGCTTCTTGTTTCAAACATATTCTTTCCTCTATTCTTGGATGCAGATAAAGCCAAAGCTAATGTTTGCTTTAAATGTTAATAATACAAACAAAGGAAACATTTAAAATGCCTTTATACATGATATTCTGTATTTTCTCCAAAAGTGTATCATGGCCGTGGCTCCGGAAGAACTCCTGTGTCCTCATGGCTTTAAATCCTGTGGTCATCCTCCCCTTTTCGTATGGACATCTTGAGAACACAAAATTGGACTCATTTGCCTCTAGCCACATAAAATGAGGCTTTAATTGTGCAGACTCGTCCTTTACTGATTACCCACCAAATAACTGGTTCATCACAGCAAAGCACTTCTATGTCATTTTCTCTGAAGTGTACCGGCCTGCGTTTCACAGGCAGAGTTTCAAAGTAAACAAGAGTCACTCCAGGGTGTGCAGACTTGCGGTCGTGTTTGCTTTTTCCTGACCGAGATTCCTCAGAACTTCCCGGCATCCTTGGAGAGGCATTTGTTAAAACTTGTGTCCTGTGGCCTACAGCTGAGGAAATTATCCAATATTTTTATTGTAACTGGAGAGGCATTTGCATCAAATTAAACAAATTTTGCCTAGGGCTGTTGAAGGGATTGCCTGCTCCCAGCAGACCTAATAGATAGTAAGTCTGCGAGGGGCATGTGCTCTGATATTAGGAAGGGCATTTTTCCTCCCACCCCAGACTTCAGGTGCTCCTATTGCCCCTGGTCCACTGCGTCTCGCAGTTGTTCGCGAGAGTGCTCCAAAGCTAACGGGCATGTGAGACATTCGGCAGAACTATTCCGAGCTGCATCTGGTTCCAGAACATGCATTCTCTAGAGCAGAGAGGTGTTTCTGTGGCCTGCAATCCCAGAGCAGTTATGGTGGCCCCTGGTGAAGGAACAGGCTTAGCAAATGTCTGAAACCCTAACCGTGTTTCCTAAGGGCAGTTTGTTGAATTTCTACAGGAAGCGAGAAAGGTCAATTTTCTTTAGAAGGTTCTACACAAAATAAATGGGCAACAAATACAGGCTGGATTGCCTGTGTAAGGAATTTGCCACACTAACAAAGGGAGCTTTCTTAGTGACTAGCAACCGTGGGAAAGAAGCCAGAGTTCTAGCAGATTATCGCTCAGCTGTTCTAGTTTTGGGCTTCTGAAGTATGAAAAAGGTTTCCCCGGATTTGAGAAGGTAATTCCAGACAAGGCACACAACTGCAACAGAAACAGGCCAGGCCACACCGAGGTCCCCGGGAGAACCCGCACAGTCACCCCTTGGCCTTTCCTCCCCAGGGCTTTCCGGGGACTTCCTGCGCACCGGGAGGTACTCGGCCCACACTGTTAATGGCGCGTGGTCGGCCTGGACATCCTGGTCCCAGTGCAGCCGTGACTGCAGCAGGGGCATTCGGAACCGCAAGCGCGTTTGCAACAACCCGGAGCCCAAGTACGGAGGGATGCCGTGCCTGGGCCCGTCGATGGAGTACCAGGAGTGCAACATCTTGCCCTGCCCAGGTGAGTGGACAGCGTCATCCGGAAAGGAGCTGGGTCCTGCGGTCTTCTAATTCACCAGCTTTGCATCTGGGATGCGCCTTTTAAAGGAATTTTTAAGTAACATCGGCCCCTGTTGGATTGTCCCTGTCACCAAAAAGGAAAAAAGTAGAACAATGGAGAGGTCCTCGATCCCCCGCCCTGCCCAGCTGCTGATCTGACACCAAATCCAGCCATTTCATCGCAAGTCACGCTTGTCTCTCAGCCCCTCTTCAGGCCAGCAAGCAGTTTAATTTCTTTGTATGAAAACGATCTGAAGGTTGTGGCTTTTGTGGGCCTACCAAGGACCTCCTCTTTTCCAAATTGCACTGGTAGAAAGATGAATATAGTCTGGGCTGGATTGTATTCATTCCTTCCACTGATTCGAAAACAAATTAAAACATTCCCATGAGCCACTGCGAGCTTATTGGCCCTCAGCCCTGTGCCAGGTGGTCTGGAGCCATGTGTGGTGTCCCTTTCTGGACCGCATGGGGACCCAGTAAGCACGGAGCCATTCCCGGTGCCCCTGTGTCTTATGTCCTGTGTCCTCCCCCAAGGCCACTTCTTTGGGTGTTCAGGCCTTCTTCTGAACCTATATTTTCATGCCTTCAAGACCCAAACAGTCATGAGGACATTAAATGAGCCCTAGGAGCCCAGGGTTTTGATGAGATGCTGGCCTCACGGTCCTGCCTCTCCATGGGTATTCTGCCTTCCTCCTGCCACTGCCCTGGGTGGTGCCCTGTCACCTCCATTGCTTCCACTTGCCTTTTGTCTGACTGAACCCTACAAGGTCGAGACTCGTGGCGTCTCACCACTGAGCCTCAGCTTCCAGCCCAGGCCCACCACACCCGGAAACAACTCCTGGCCATTGTTGAATGGTGACAGAACAAGCACTGCCCGCCCTTCTTCCCTCCTTCCTTTGTTCATCTGGGGTCAGCACACGTTTTTGGATGACCCGTTATGTGCCACTGACAGAGTGTACGCAGAGACCCAGTGCTGCAGTCCAGCTCAGAAAGGAGCTTCGAGGCTTCCTGTGAATGATCTCAACCCAACTGCTAAGTTGGTGAGATGATGCGGTGGCCGCATCAAAGACCCACTGACCTCGAATCATGACAGCAACACCAACTGGGCTGCTCCTGAACTGAGTCTGAGGAATGCACAGGAGTTAGTCACTCTGACAAGCAGGGTCAGTGTGTGGGATGTGGGGTGCGTGTGTGTATGTATGGGGGTCATTCCGAATATTGGGTACAACACCTTTAAGAGCATAAGGTCTTAGCTTCTTTTTCCATAGGTACATACAACTTTCTGAGTTCCTTGAACGAGAAACTGACTTACAGTAGGTGCTTAACAAGCATTTGTGGAATAGATGGATGGGTGGATGAACAATCAGGTGGACGGGTAGACAGGTGATGGCTGGGGAGGCGATGGATGGGTGTGATGTAGGTAAAAGTGAAAGCAACACTGTCCCAGCATTGTGTCTGAGGCTCGCAATGATGTTCCTGCTCTTTCAGCTGCACTCCTCTTCCTAGGGTGTCTCTGCTTGAATTTCTCCAGCCTCCGGGACTCCTCCTCTGAACTTTCAGCTGATGCTGAGGCTGGGAAAGGTCACCGAGCCTTTCTTTCCCACAGCCCCAGTGAGAAGATTCCTCCCCGGGTGCTGGGAGGAAGCCCATGGGCGATATGGCTAGATTTGAGTCAGTGCTATAAACTGGGTGGAGGGAGGGTGTCGTGGGAATGTCAGGATCCCTCCACTGCCCACCCCTCCTCAGACTTCAGGTTCCTTACAGCCATCAGTAGAGCATGCAGATTCCTTCAGCTGTTCGGACGCTGACCTCCTCCTCGGGGCAGAGAGTCTCTGTCTATCTCAGAGACACGCCAGAGCACCCTCTGTGGGTGTTTTTAGTTATCTCAGAGTGGCTCTGCCCCCATTTTCCTTTAAAAGCCAAGATTCCGAAAAGTGTTTTGGAATTAGTCAGAACACCCATGTCACTTTCCACCAAGGAGTGGACAAGTTCAAGCCTGGAGAGTGCAAATGTCAGCTTTCTGACCTCCTGGAAAATTCCTATAAATACACCAGAATTTAGCTTGGCAAGGAAGAGTGAGAAGTCCCAGGGTTACAAATGCTCAGCTGCACTATCATGGAGGGGCAGTCGTAAGGCTATTTTTACCCTTTTAAGACATTCTCTTGTTTAACCCTGTTGGATCGTCGTCAACAATTACAAATGGATATTGTGTTCCAGTAAAAGAATAGATTTCGTTATGATTTAGAATGTAAATAAATCTTAAACTAGGGAAATGTAAAATAGCCTTTAAGTTAATTAATGAAAAATTTCATTTATCACTTGTATAATAAACTATAATAAGGTTTTTGTTTTGTACTGGGGATTGAACTCAGGACCTTGCAGTAGCTAGGCAGGTGGCAGAACCACTGAGCTAAATCCCCAGCCCTATACTAAGGTTTTAAAGATGTTGCTAGGTTCATGTCATCCCTTCTCTGCCCTCTGTGGGTTTATCTAACTAGTGCCTTCTGTACATCAGTTGTTTTCAATGCTGAGGAATAGCTGATTCTCCTTCATGCCTTTTCCTCCTGTCGTGTTTGATTCATTGCTGAAGAATCCAGACCTTCACCCACAAAGGTAAACAAAAGTTAGCTCTGTGGTGCTATACAGTATTTAAACTAGATGAAAACAACCTCAGAGTTCTCTTTAGGCCCCATAAAACCTACCACAGCAAACACAGACTCTTTTGAGCATATTTAACTGAAACAGTCCATTTTGTCTTTATTCGGCAAGCAGTAGATGTGAGGGTAAAAGGCCCTGAGAGTCCTGGAGGGGCCGCTGTCTGAATCAGGGGACTCTGACAGTGCGTGTTCTCTGGGGAACGCCTGCTCACCACCCACGGAGCGTGAGGACCCTGCCTCATACAGTGTAGGCCACTGTGTGCTTGGTGCAGGAGCCTGATCCTCACAGATCTTTGGAGAAGCAGAGAGCCCTGTTGTCCTCCAGTGGGAGTCACTGCAGTCCATGCCACAAGCGGGGTGCAGGACTCAGCACTGCACATGCACGTGTCCTGATGCCATAGGTGCCAGACTTCCTTCCCCTGGGGGTGCACAAGATGCCCAGCGTGAGTGTGTCTCATTTGACTTTGCTCTTTGTCGCTAGTAGCTATACTGTTTTATTTTACTGTATTTACTTTAGCTAGAATTCCTGGAGTAAGATTTTTTTGTCCTCTTCCATTGACTTAAACCGTAAATTTCATTTGACCAAAAATAATTCTGCCTCATTACTTGTTTTGATTCCTTGAGAGGAACATGGATCTAGCTTGAATGTCTTTGGGGATTCCCATGAGCCAGACTCATAGGTAAATCAGAAGGTGATTTGAAGCCATGAGATGATTCTTACCAAGATTTTTGGTGTGAAAATGGCCGGAGTTAAGTGAACCCTGGTGCCGGTCTGTGTTCAGTCTGCCCCCTGCCTATTCGTGACTCCCCACTCATGCTCGCTGTGCCCTGACCACTCTGTCTCAAGCCTCACAGATTTCTAGAACATTCCCCTGGGCTGTTTAAGTGGAATAATTACTGAGTCTCTGCTCCCTTTCTTCTCTTGTTCCTACTCCTGTTCCTGTTCCTGTTCCTCCTCATTGCTGTTATTTTTATCATCATTCCCAGCCTCATTCCACCCCTGAAGAACTACCCTTTGCTCAGTTACTCATGTTTATCTTGCATCCTTGACCCCAGAGTCCCTGCTTCCCCATTTAGAGTTCTGAATGAAAGCTATTTTGTTAAGCTTTGTTTTCTCTAGTTTCCATTTGAGAAATACATCAACCTTCCTAATATGAACGGATACTACAGAATTCAGTGTGCTTTGCTTTTCTGTCCTGTACAAACCGCCCTGCCACATCTCTGAGGCAGTGCTCTGCAGTATAGGTTCAAACCCATGCTGGTCAAGAAACCAGTGCTGCCAGCATCCACCTGCGGGGCTAGGCATGTGACATCCAGCCAAGGTCTGGCTGCAGGCATCTGGACTCTGCTCCTTACTGTCTGGAGTCTGCGTGGTTGCACTTGCTTTGGTTGTTTAGGGCCTGAATTTAGGAGGCAGCCTTCACGGCTACCATTGTAGTGGGATCGTCTGCTTTCCTCTACCCCACTGTCAAGGAGGAAGTTGAGATCTAGTTATGAGGAAAGCTGTGGCTTGAACCACTTTCAAGTCTTGTCTGGCCTAGTGCCTTATTCAGGCAGCAAACGTGAGGAGAAGCAGAGGGGTTCACTGGTCCTTCTTGGATCTGGAATTTTCCATCCCACCCATTTCACTCCTTTGTCGTCCTCGCACTTAGCTATTATATGTCTAGTAATAGCTTCTGAGCGAACACATAAAGAGAAATGAAGAAGTGCAGGGAAGACTATCCCAACTGGGATCCCTGAGCAAAGGAAGCTGTGGACGCCCTGCACCCCGCGAGTGACTGCAAGCCCCCCTGAGGTGTCCAGCCATTCGGATTCTGCCTTGCGCTCGGTCTGTTGCTCGGCTTTGAGCTTCAGAGGTGACTTTGTTTCCTTCCCAGTGGATGGTGCATGGTCGTGCTGGTCATCCTGGTCACAGTGCTCGGCGACATGTGGTGGTGGACACTACATGAGGACGCGCTCCTGCACAAACCCTGCCCCGGCCTACGGAGGGGACATCTGCCTGGGGCTGCACACCGAAGAGGCCCTGTGCAACACACAGCCCTGCCCAGGTAGGCAGCACGTGCCTCCCCACGCATGCGTCTTTCCTTGCCATCCGAGTGCGTCCCAGCAAGTACCAATTAGACCTTGAGTTTGCTAATGCCTCATAGGCAGCACCTTAAGGGAGAGTTGCGGGAAAGAAATGGAGAAGAGTAATCGATTGTAGAGCTCCCACAGGAGTCTGGGGGGCTGAGCCAGGGGAGCACCCATTCCTCTCTGTTTTCACCCCCACCATCCAGTCTTCAGAGGATCCCGGAGCGGTGTTCCAGATGAGTTCTCCCCGATGACACGGAGACAGCAGGCACACTTGGTGGTTAGGAGATTAGAGAAATCATACAACATGAACTCAGATGTAGGCAGAGGACCAAATCCACACAGGACCAGAGACTGGTTGTAATAAGACTTGCCCAAAATATATTACCTGGCCAGCAAGGGACCTAAACTTTGATGTTGAAACTCTAGGTGGGCAACCGAGGACCCTTGAAGCTGCCTGAGGAACTCTGAGAGTCGGAATTCCGGGTGCTTCATCAGCCCTGGGTGCAGCATCTGGAGACGTTGGGGAGCACTCCCCACCCACCCCATGCACACACAGCAGGAGCTTGGTGTTCTGACGTACAGGGAGCCTTGGGGTCTGAGGCGGACATCAAAACACTCAAACAGTTTGTTAGCTTGCCCTGCAGATATTTCTAGACAGATCTTCCTGGTTCCGATGATACTGAATAGAACCTAGAAACCAGAATCTTCTCACGGCCATTCCATGTTTCTTTTACCTGGGTCAAAGCATAAGTTAAAATTTCAAAATTTCCTTCCAAAATGCATAGAAAAAAATGTCATTTTGTTTATTTGTCTGTTTTTTGGTTTTGGGATCAAACTCGGGACCTTGCGCTTCTGAGGCGGGCAGCAGAACCACTGAGCTAAGTCCCTGGCCCAAAAATGTCACTTTGTATTGATTAGCAGCCCATAAATAATAAAAGTTCAGCTTTTTTAGCTTCTTACATGAATATGAATGCTGTTCCTCTCCTATCAGACATCTGTACATGCCTGGGTGAACCACACAGGCCCCAGCAGATCTCCTACTGAGGACAAAGTGTCCTTTCTTCTGTCAGCTTTTGTCCTGGACCCAAGACTTGGGAATTGCCCTTGTGAACCTCGGTAGCCCTGGATGGATTCTACCTCTCTGATGTGCTGTATGGACTCTGCAAAACTGTTTCCACGACAGAGAGAAAGGGCTTTAAAGCTTTAAAGTCCAACTCGGCCTTCAGGAAGAGAGCACAGCTGCTCCTCTTGCCCGAGCACTGGCGTGTAGAGAGGTCCTGTGCATCGATGACTTCTCTGCGCCGCGCTGGCGGTTTGGAGATAGCTTGGTCTCACAGATTAGCTTATTGACTGTGTGCCTGCAACTGCACAACATAATATTGGATTTAGAAACTTTATTTTCAAGGCACTATATCTGATTAAAATAATGTTTTTATTCACACTTGTGTATTTATTGGACTGGTCGGAAGACAGGATGCTATCATATTATGTTCAGGACTGTCAGAAATAAAACAGGAAAGCCTGAAATGACACGTGTTACCTGACCTCCCCTCTCTTCCCTTCTGGTACCACAGAGAGCTGGTCCGAGTGGTCTGAATGGTCTGTGTGTGACCCATCTGGAGTCCAGTTCCGCACCCGCCAGTGCATCCTCCCTTTCCCAGTGGGCAGCCAGTGCTCTGGGAACAACACGGAGAGCCGGCTGTGCGCTTTCGACTCTAACTTCATCCCAGGTAAGGGATGGAGGGCACAAGCGCTCATCAGCAGGAACAGAACCTGTCCAGCACCAGCGAGAAAATGGGTCAGAGATTGGAGTTGTGTCTGCCCTGTACATTTGGTGGAATAGAAGTGATCTTATCCAATTTTCTAGTTTTAAAATGATTTGAATGTAGCTGTAGAGACAACTGTAGATTTAGACTGGAATGCAGTTTATGAATGAAAAAGCTCTTGAGCACAATGTTGTCTGTAATTGTGTGATTCTAATATATTCAGAAGACTTTGCTTCAAAAAATAGGCTACTTGGTTATTTTAATACTGGATTAAATACTTTGCCAGAACTCGCTTGCTCTCTCTTCTCTCCCTCCCACCCCTCGCATGCATGCATGCAGAGAAAAGCATTCCTCTGTTTAAGCAGCCTTTACCATCCTGGGGAAATGACTGGTCACCACTGTTCTCACCCTGGAGGGGAGGCTGGTGGTTATTAGCAGCCCCTTTGCACTGTGAAATCAGAGTTTAGTTATTATAAATTTGCATTTTTTTTCTTTTTTCTATACCGGAGATAGAACTCAGGACCTTGAACTTGCGAGGCAGGCACGGTGCCACTGAGCTGAATTAGTAGGCACAGTGCACTGCACCTATATAAACCATGCAGTATATAACCTGTGTGGTGCCTGGCAAGCACGAGATCCCAAATTCCATCCCTGGTACCAAAAATACAGACAAACAAATATACAACCTATGTGCAATGATGGACCAGGTTGCAAACCAAAGACCAATCTATTACCTATTACAAGAAATAGTAGGGTTCAATTCTACAAACCAGATTTTCTTTGAGGCCCCCCTTTTGTGGAAAAGATAATATCTTAGAGAAAGTTATTAGTTTTAGCCTCATAAGGCGCTTTAATAATGTATACCATTATGAGATGTGATCAAAATGTATACTGAATATTTAAATTAGAAAAATGTTATTGTAATAAAATTTTATTACACATATTAATCAAAATGCTTTCCTTCACTTTGAACACTCGTCCCATTTTTCTTGCCACTTTCTGGAGCAGTTCTGGAAGTTTTCTTTCCTTAATATTTTTATAAGTTATAAGTAAACATACAGTGAATGCTGCTGCTCAGTGTCACCCCGTGGAAAGGCAGGCTCAGGAAAACATTACAGTGCATCCTCTTCCAATTTGTTCACAGGAAGCAGCCCTGTGTGACTTCTGGCTCTTCCCCAAAGTCAAAACAACCATAAAAGGGAAGCATTTTGAATCTGTTCTGGAGATTGAGGCAGCCAGGACAGCATAGCTAAAGAGCACTCTTGAAAGAGAACTTTGAAGACGGCTTCAGAGAGTGACAACAATGATGGGATGAGTGTGTTTGAGGAGAGAGGGTTCAGAGGGGAATTACAGAAATATGTTTTACTGTAATTTACAAACGTTTAGACATGCACTACAGTGGATGATCACACTTCAAAATGAGTAAGACTTTGTTAATTTAAGCACAGGGACGTATTTAATATGGAAAATTAATATGGAAGGGAACGGCATTTCCAGACTCCTGACAGGATATTTTTTTTTCCCTTGGGTTTAAAACACTTAGAAGAACAGACCTCTTCCGGTGTCTCATCCGTGGAGTTTGCTCACGGAGTGAAAAAGGTCATAAATAAATTCCTGAAGAATAACTTAGTTTTTGAGACATCTTAGTTGTGAAATTGATTTCTTTGAGCTCTGGTAAATTGTCTCCCCCAAAGAGAATGTAACAGCACGGGCTGTGGTGAAACAATGAAACAAAACAATCATGCAAATGCTGTGAGGACCCTCAGCCAGCAGATGTACGGAAACACTGCACTTTAGCAGGAAGTCAGAAGAGTGCTGGTTTCAGCCTAAGGGGCCAAAACACTTTCTTTCTGTCCTATTGAGTCTCATCCTTTTCTCCTAAAGGTGACTTAATCAGTCTTAGGTTGATTAAAACAAGAAATAAATACTCTTTTTATAATTAATCAAGGTTGTAGAACAGGTGTGCATTAGATTCAAAATCATTAGACGTTTTGTAAATGCAGCATTGATACGGATATCCTTCCTGTCACCTTTCATGCATTGTGATTAGGTTTTTGTTCTTCCAGAAGTATCTGTGGCAAGATCCAGTAGTGTAGAAGAGAAAAGATGTGGAGGTAAGTTCTTGCTTTTAACTAATTTCTCTTGAGTATCCTAATACTTCTGATCATTTCTCATCCCTGTCCCTGTGTTTTCTGTGTTTCGCTGTTGACACTCCTGGATCCCCAAATCATGCATCTGAGTATAAGTGGTAATAGTTAATATTGAACCTGTGGGCCAGGGCTTCTCAGCGTGGGATCTCCAGGTCCACACCCTCAGCATCCCCAGGGGACTGGATGGAAATACAGATTCTCAGGCCCTGCCTCCACTGACTGAACCAGCATCTCCCTCTCTCGTGGGGTCTACCATTCTGTGCTCAGTGAGGTCTGCAGGAGCTGCTGAGGGACGTGAGCCTTATGAATCAGAGATAGATAGCAATATGAGCCACAGGTAGTTCTTCCAGGCCTAAAACGGTTATCCAAGCAGTTATTTACATTTTCATGCAAACCCATGGCAGCCGCTCTCAAATCTCCAGATAACGAAGAACTGTCTTGTAATGGGACATAAAGTGATACCTGTGTCACCTGAGGGATTTTTCAAACTTTCTACAGCAATGGATGTCAAAAAGCAGCATTCGTTGGTGCAAGGCTATGCTAAATGTAGACTCTACATGTCTGAATGGAAGGGCTTGCTGTCCGATCTGTGAGGCCAGTGACCGTATCCACCTTCAATTATTTGAACGAATGTCCATTCTAAGATGTTCACTTTCACATCTGTGGCTGACGACATACACGTGCTCATTCCTACCGTTATCCATCCCACCAGAGAGCTTGACACAACAGGTTTCAGTCTGTTTACACCAGCAGGGACTCACGAGCTTCGCAGGCGTATTTTAGGATTGTACTTGCCATTGTGAGCTGCGCTGCCCCGAACCTCACTGTTGGTGAATTCTCTCTGCTTAGTTAGCCACCTGTTGATCCACCCACCTGCCCCTTCAGTAGTCCATTATCAGTGCTACAAGTGGCACTGTGACACTGGACACCTGAAGATCCCTAGCCATGGAGAAGGGCTCGTCGGTGAAAACCATCACCTAGCAAGGATGTCTGGGGAGTTTTAGGAAGACCATACAGATGTATTTGCTCTGACAAAGCGCTCAAACTCTGCACAGAAAATCATGCAATTAAACCAACTGGATGGTTTGTCTGTATTCTAGCTTTACTGACAAAAAAAATTTTTTTTAAGATAACAGCATAGAAAGACACGTTTTCAAAGGAAAGAGCCAGACCAAACAGTCTCAAAAGAGATGTAACAGGTTCTATTTTTCCCCTCTATGGAAAATGTGATTCTTATTGAGATTTTTCCAACTTAGCTATTTTTAGTTGTGTGAGACACAAAGACTCCATAATCCTCATGAAGATGTCAGTGGCCACAGGCTTCCTGGGCACCTGTGGGATCGATTCATTTGACTAATGACAAAGTATCTGCATGTGGAGGCCACCGTCTGCCTTCCATGTGTTACAATGGAACACGAGCTATCGGGTGGCAGGAATACTTTTATCTGTGTGTGTCGCTGACCCTGGGGAATCCCAGCAGCTAAAATACAGAGCCATGAGAGCTGTGTGATCGCGCACCTGCTTATCTTAAGGACAACTGCATGGTTACAGGGAGATTCTGGTGGTTGTTGGTGGAACAGCCCCACATGCTTCGTCCGACTCTCCCAGGCTGGAGCCCTCCAGCCCCAGAGGCTCCTCCGAGACAAAACCAGGAAAGGCCAAGGGGTGCAAAGTCTTCTGCACTCATTAAGCAAGTGAGCCAGGCATGGAAACCTGAGGCAGCCATCCCGGGATGGGGCAGTTGTAGAAAGCTCCAGTGCAGCCTGCGTGGGCTGTCCGACCACCTGCGCTGAATAGCGAACTCCTGTGTCAGGAGCTGCACTCACATCTGGAATTCGAGGGCCTCTGGCAGCCCCAGATGTTGGCTGGGCTGACCCTGATCCCAAGAGGAATCAGCCTGGGGTCACTGCGTCCTTCCACCTCAGGTGACAGATGCATTTCTCAGGGTCCCTGGAATGTGATTTGCTGGAGCAGAGAGGAACACAGCATAGGGGAACCCTAATTCAGGGCCAAATGAGGGGTACTGAACTTTAATGCATATTGCCGGGGGCCCTGAGGGCCTCTCCCATCCCGAGGTTGAGCTCTCCCCTAATGCTCTCCTCACCCTGGAGCTCTGTAGAGACAAGAAGGACTCAGCGAGAGTCCTGGCATCCTGCTAGAACTCCCCCCAGGTGTTCCCTTGTGGACATCAAGTGATTCTTCGATACCATGTGTCACCTCTGAGCTTGCATTGCTGCAGTGTAACCTCAAAGTAGTGAGCATGGGCAGTGGGCACCTGGATCACAGAGCACAGGGAGGAAGCTCTGTGATCCCTAGGGGGAGGTCCTGGAAGCTAAGTTTCAGACACAGAGATGCAGGTTCGTGTTGCCACCAGAGCCCAAGACAGGCCAGTCTGTTGTCTGGGCCGTTGTACAACAGGCTTCCTCATGGTTGCACTTGTCCAGGGTTGACAGATCACAGAAGGACCTCAGGTAGGAGACACCTCTGTGGTGCACAGAGGGGACACCTGGGGAAAGGTGGGTGTCCTTGGGGTGTGCTCTGAGCAGGGGAGACAGGAGCCAAGTAACCCACAGGCTTTTTAGGCACATAGCACAGTGCAGAAGAAGAAAGGTCCTGTTCTGTCTTATGTGATTTTCTCCAACCTCAGCTCCATAACCACTGCCCTGCCTAGATATCATCTTTGCTCCCTGAAAGGCTTGGAACTTTGATAGTGGTGTTTTCCAACTCACAGTGGATGCTGCATTTTTATGTTACATCTTAGGCATCACATAGGCCTTGTGTCTCCCAGACCTCTCCTGTTTCAGAGACCTAAATCCACACCATCTTACCTTTTGAATGCATTATACTCCTGCCTCAAGGAAGGAAATGCAAATAAAGAGATACTTATTGAATGGAAAAACAATAGGTCAAGAAAGAGTTACTTCATGGCCTCCTAAAATGCCATATTTTATTCCTATAGCACAAATCCTTTATTCTTTGGAATAAACCATTTTCCTGATAAGATCCTCAGAATGCATCATAAATGAAAAATAGTCCATGGGATTCTGTCCACACACGTGCATAGAACGCGCACCTGTGCAGAGATCTCTGGAAGGATCCTGAAGGCGTTGTTACAATAGTTACCCTTAGGAAAGAATGTAGACGTATTTTTCCTTTAGAGCTTTTGGAGCCTCTAATATTGTGCGATGTGTGTATATTCATATTCAAAAGTATAATGGAAAACATGAGAATTCTTGTAAATGGAACACTTTTTAAATAAAATGAAGCAATAAGGAAAGAGGGGAAGCAGTGTGGCCTGCAGGTGTGTAGGGACTGGACTCCTCCCTCAGGCTGTGGATGTGCCATGTTGCGCACCCATGAAGAAGCGAGTGTACTCCATTCCCTAGAAACCCCACGGGCCAGGGATGGCCATGAAGGTGGAGTGGAAGAGCAGTGTTACACAAGCCTTCAAAGGAAAGAATCCCAACGCTGCGTCTAGCATACTGAGTTCTAAGATGCTTCTAATTGTAATCCGTGAAAGCATGGGTTTAACACACACTGTGCTCCCTGGGGAGAGGCTTCCTGATGCCCATGATACTTTCAGGAGAATTGTGATTCCCCTCCCTTTACACTGGGCACGTGGCTTGGCATTTTCTCCCTGTCCTCATCTGAGTGCTCCTGACCGTTCCATATTGCGGCCTTTTCAAGTGCAGCATGCTGTTGCTTTGTCCTCCAGAGTTCAACATGTTCCACATGATCGCTGTGGGCCTGAGCAGCTCCATCCTTGGCTGCCTCCTCACCCTGCTTGTCTACACCTACTGCCAGCGCTACCAGCAGCAGTCCCATGATGCCACCGTCATCCACCCGGTGTCTCCGGCCCCTCTGAACACCAGCATAACCAACCACATCAACAAACTGGACAAGTACGACTCGGTGGAAGCCATCAAGGTAAGGAAGGGGCAGTGACCACTGCAGCGAGATGCGCCCAGGCCAAGGGGTCCAGGGCTGTCAGCAGAGCCCAGCGTGGCAGACCAGTGACACAGAGGGCGATGTGGGAAGAGGGCCCCTCGATAAAGAACAGCCTGCTTTGGCTTTGCAAATGTGGCATCTCTGCTGGGAACCCAGTGACATAGGAGACAAGAAGTCAACAGTGAGTAAATGCTTAGCCTGTTTATGCTTTGCAGGCTTGAAGGAAGTCCGTGCAAGGAGGAGAGCTCCCCGCTGAGCAGGTGCACAGGGCTGAGCAGCAGTGATGAGGGCCACACTGTGGCAATCAGGTCTCCTGGTCCAATGAGGAGTAGACCTGACCTTCTTTCCACCTTATTACCTTCCTCTTTGAAATGGGTATAACAATATGTACTTGCATTTCGTTGTGAGGTTTCAGTGACCAGGATTCAGAACCCAGCAAATAGTAACTGCTGTTTGTTGTCTCTGTGGGGCATCAGGTCAGGTGTATAGCTGGGAAGACCATGGGTTTCCTGTCTGCTCCCCACAACCTGCCTTGGGACCCAGATAGATTTAGGGCATTCTGTGAGCTAAGTCTGACTAGAGTCTCACGTTTCTCTGAAGTTGATGCTTTCCCTTAACACTGTTGGGGAGAGTTCTGAGGGCTTCCCTCTGCTCCTGGTTTCCTATAAAATCAGATTTCTTCCTATGTGAAAGCGTGGAGTATCATCAGCTATTACAGCTTCAGGTGGTCCCAGAGCCTCAGTGTCCTCACTGGCTCCCTCCCCACCCCATGGCTGCCTCTCTCCATTACCTTGACAGACCTGCAGCTGTCTGACCATTGACCCATGCCCTCTGCTTGGGCCAAGATCTAGAGCCCACCAGCACTGGCCCCAGTCAAGTGCTAGGCCTAGAGAATGGAGCACCAGGAGTTAAGAGCAGGCCCTTACAGCCTCCCAGAAATGATCTTCTAGAGTGCAAGGAGGAACGGGTGCTCCTATGAGCAGGGAGCTTCAGACCAAGTCCCAGAACCCGAGGAAGGGGCTCCTCTGCACACGATTCCCATGCACTGATGGGTCTGTGTAATTCGGCTGGTCTCTGTTCCCACTGCCATCCAGTGTGCACTTTCACAATGGCCGGAAATGGAGCCGTCATGAAGGCAGTGGACGCTGAGTACATGGATGGTTGCCTGAGCTTTCATGAATCCTTCTAGAACGTTCACGTGCACCTTGCCCAGACTAGCGCTGAACAATTGGTCTCTGACTATTTGGCTTCATCTTTTTATTTTGTCTTTATTATTTTATCTTCATCTTTATTATGTACTCTCTACTTGGCATAGTTAATTTCTTTGAAATCACAGGCAACGTTAATGACTCCTGAAGGGCCCTGTGTCAGAGAGAGCCATTGGGCATACTAAGTTCAGAGTGAAAGAAAACCAAGGCCTTTGAATCTTATACATTTATCTAAATAAGTTTTGTCAAGATCACTGGTAAATGTGCCTATCCACTGAAATCTGAAAGCTGCTTAGGTATATTCTTCATATATGTAGTAATATTTAAAGTGTCTATTAAGTGGGAATCATTCAAGTTTTTCTAGAAGGTTCAGTTTAGGTTTTCTGACACTCTGCTTTTCTTAGTAAATTCTTTACTAAAGTTTGAAAATAGAACTAAGTATATGGAAGATGGCTAACCTTGTTCTAGTTGTTAGGCAAGTCTTCCATGAGGCAGACAATCTGAGGAAGCCAATAAGTGAGAAAATGCTTTCCAAAATAACGGAACCATAAGAGAGAGCTCAAATTCAACATCATAGGCTCCTGATTATATTCACTCCAGGATATTACTTGCTAAATATTCTTATATCTTTTCTATATATGTATTTTACAGGCATTTAACAAAAACAACCTGATCCTAGAGGAAAGAAACAAATACTTCAACCCACATCTCACTGGAAAGACCTATTCTAATGCCTACTTTACAGATCTCAATAATTATGATGAGTACTAATAGCTCTTCTATTTTTTGGCTTCTTGTAAATCCTCAGTTCTGCAAAGCCTGTGCTCTACGACTTCCATGTTTCTGAGGCTTCTGAGAGGAAGTCTGGGTCTATTTCAAGTGCATTTCAAGCCAAGAGTGTCCCATTGCTGCCAAAAATACACATCCTTAAAAGCAACAACAAAAAAACTAAATGCAGCATCATGAAAATCTGGTCTGCAGCAAACACTTGGTAGTTGTTAAATGAGCCCTAGTGTGAAGTTCTTTACTGTGTTCCGCCCATTTCTCTAACGAGTCCATTGTCTCATGAGCTCTATTTTACATATGTGCCACTCATGTTGGAAGGAGTATTAGAAATACAGATTTCTTCTTCATTTTGAGCATAGATCTTCATGATGTTTTAATTCAAGAAAATAAGCACCTTATATGAGAGGCCCCTCTGTCCTCAAGGCCCATATTATTTGATAAAATGAAGAAAATGAATTTGGCCCAACAAGTGTTCACCATGACCTCCCAACTTCTCCAGTCTGGAAAATACCGTGGATTCTCAGAGGCACCCGCATTTGGATTGGGAAAGCTTCTTGCCCGCTGGGGACGCCCCGGGTTCCCACCTGCCCTGCACCTGCCCGGTGACTGAGCAGAGGCCCCGCCCGCTCTGAGGCCCGGACTGTGCTGGGCTGTGGGATGAGCCTGCGGGTCAGAGGCACAGGCGCGGGGACTCGGGACAGCGCTCTGCAGCTCTCGGCAAAGCCAGCCTGACCGCCACTGCCCGTCTCCTGTCGCCCGAAGCCCGACTGCCTGGTCCCCTGAGCGGCCGGCAGGATAACCACTCGTCAGCAGTGGATCACTCCAGGCCGCCTCTCCCTGCCCAGGGAAGTCTTGAACCTTGGTTTGCCGATAAGGGAAGGTATGGAGAGTATGGATTCGGAACTGAAAATGATTTTTAAAACTTCTCCGCGTTACTCAGTGTTGGAAGAACAGGGAAGTCGAACCTTGGTTTGCCGATAAGGGAAGGTATGGAGAGTATGGATTCGGAACTGAAAATGATTTTTAAAACTTCTCCGCGTTACTCAGTGTTGGAAGAGCCGATGCTTAGTGACGAGGATCCTTTTGTGTCCCACTCCCCGTTATCCCCGAGGCGTGGCACCTGGCCCCTCCCCAGCAGGATGTGTGAAGCTGGCTCCCTGGACCGTCACGGTGCACACGGAAGTGGCACCCAGCACCACGCTGTCACTTGCAGTCCCGGGCGCGGGGGAGGAGAGGTTCGGCCTGGTGCCTTTTCTGGATCTCAGTGCTGTCTCCCTGTCCACCCGTCCGGAGGCAGGGGTGGGGCAGGGCACCTGGGAGATCGGGGCTGGAGGAAGGAGGGGGAAGAAGGGCTCTGACCGTCCCTGTGGTCTCAGTCTTGTGGGTTAGCATTTCAGGGCATTATAAAGGCCATTCCTAGAGGTCTCCAGAAATGAAAAAGATAAATTACTTGCAAACAGTGGATCCACATAGTATATGGCAGTGGGTGGAATAATTTTCAAAAGTAAGAACAAAATGGAAATAGGTCATCTGCTGCCTCGGCATTATAATCAAAGCCTGAGCAGATATTGATAGATGTGCTTAGAGGTGGATGAACCTTTGGATTTGTGAAAATGTGCAGTATGGGTAGTGAGGAACACAGTTATTAGCCTATGTGTTTCTGTCTTACTCACCTTAAAACAACGGCTCAGAAAGTATTGGGAAGATCTCATGATCGATAACAAGTATAGCTGAGTTCTGAGTACTCGGAAATGCCTGAATTAGCAACAGTGCTCTCTGTGCACAGTTCTGTGGGTCTGATGCTCAGCGTGTGCTTAGTGTAAAGGGAAGGACAGGGACTATCCAGGGCACCTCGCATACAGGGTGTGAGCATTCTGCTCAGCACTCACTCCCTAAAGGAAATGAAGTAGAAGGTTTCCTGATCACTTCCAGGTTGGATTTCCACTGGACACTGACTCATCTCTTTAAGAAAAACAGTCCTCACTGGGTAGCACATCTTAGCTTTTCCTTTTAATCACCCTCTCCTAAAAATTTTCTAAGGTTAAAACGTCACTTTATCTCCCCTAAGAAGGAGGATACTAATATTTTATGAACTTGTCACTGAACTTGATGTGAAATACTTTCTGAATGGTACCCAGCTGGCCGGTAAGCAATCATGCAGGATCAGGGAAAACCATCCTCCCTCCACCCAAGATTCTCCTGTTTTGGATAATTCAAACCTTCAAGATGGGCATTGCAAAAAAAAAAAAAAAAATCCCCTCATGTTTTGCTCCCCGATACTCTATTCAGATGAAAATTTCACTTTGCAACCTTCTCTGTCCTAACAGGAGAGTGCTTCGTTCGGAACAATCTGAGCTGTGTTCTCAGTAATGCACCTCTCTGTTGAATAACCACTGCTTCCTGTCTCTGTGCTTCACCTCCCTCCAGTCCCGAGCCGCGTGCATGGTTCTCGTGGTGTCCACCATCTGCGGTGCTGCCCCTCCACACAGCAGCTCTTCTGCAGGCTGGAGCTTTAGCACTAGGATTGCTGCTGAAATCTGTGTGTCAAGGTTTAAATTCCTGACAGACGTTTCCATTTACTTCTCCCTCCCTCCCTCCTTCCTTCCTCCTTTTTGTGTTCAAACAGCACAGATAGAGACTTACATTTTTAAACTACACATATTTGACCCTGTCGTCAAATGACACTTAACCACAATTTAATTCCTAGGACTCTGTCTTGGTACAGGTGAACTGTGGCTGATTTTCAGTAGGAAAGTGGCCTCAGTCACACATGTAAACTCTTCGACAGTAAGGCCCCACGTTGATCAGAGACCTTCCTCTGGAGGAGACCATTCACCGTCAGTCACCGCTTTGACAGCACTGAGTTTGCAATTATCCTCATGCTTATTTATTTTTCATTTAGAGAAAATAAAATACTTCCCAACACTGGCCACTTTCCTTGTCACCTTTGTCCCGTGGCCATCAACTTTCTTTAACATCAAGGCATCCTTTACGTTTCAGTGGGGCTTTCCTGTTTTGAGTGGCGTTTGCATCTCTTTTCACTGAATCTAGCACTTTTGTCTCAAAAAGTCACACAGGAGCAGCTAGGCAGAGGTTTAGGTACCGATGATCCATACCAAGAGCTGCAGCAATGCCAGCTCTCGAAGTGACAGGGCTGAGTCTGCGTCTCATGGCTCCAACAATGAGTTTTCATGAAGTTGTCAAGTCAGTAACTTGACCTCGACTCGGGAACAAAGTCTGCTGTTCTTTTTGATATGATACATGTTGGGGTTCACACGTGGCATGGGCCATGTCCAGCCCACCCATTCATCCCAACTCTTACTGCAAGGTACATTTGGAGATTGATGTTGCCATGACATTGCCAGTATTTGGTTGCTCGTTTTCGTCTGTGCTAGATTGTCTAGAATGTCTGTGATTTTCTACCATCAGATGCTAGAAGCCATTCTGAGGACACTGCTTTTTGGCTGATGAGTATAAAATCAAAAGAGTCAAAGCAATGTTCATTTGCACCTAAGAAACACACAAAAGTAACTTCCATGCACAGAATTTTGCCATGTAAGATAAAATACGTGGAACACAGGAAATGTGGAATTTCTTTCTGCTGTTCTCTCCTGCTGTGGTTATTAATTAAAATTTATTTAAAGATATTTGATAACACTACAGATACTGAGCCAAGGCATTCAGGTTGTCTGTTTTGACAGCCTGATACAACAAAAGAATAAATATTGCTTTAATACTTACCTCTTTTCTCTTTGGCAAGCTGCAAAATGAGATAGGATGTTGGATTATTGGTAGCAATTTCTCAAATGATTCTTTATGGACTGATACTAAGATGCATTCACACTTTTTGAGCAGATGGATCACAATGTTTTTCCACATGTTGCATTATCAGAAATTTGGTATGCATTAAGGAGGTATCAGAAACGGAGACCTTTTTGCTTTTAGAAAGTAGTTCAAAATGCAGTGTGCGTAGGGCCTCAAGAAAACTGCTTTTAGAGTCTGGCACTACTTTCGAAAGACCACACTTCGGGAAAGAGCGTGCTAGTTCTGCCATGGAGCACACGCTAGCTTATTACCCAGGATCGGACTCGGTATCAACTCTTGCCTAAGCAGCAGGCTTCTAAAGTGTGGACACAGTGAAGCTTCCGACTCAAAGACACCTGCAGTTCTAGAAGGAGAAATGCAGAGGTCGAGATGAGTGCCCTGTGGCATTTCCTAGACTAGGCAGGGAAATTTAGTCCACCTCTCAGGATGCAGTCAAATACAAGGCCAGTAGTTCAAACGTGATCCTCTTCTTTCTCAGTCTTTTGACAATGTAATGCCAAATGATTCAAACATTAGATGAATGTTAGATAAAGTGGAGAGCCAAGTCTGGTGTCTGAAAAACAGGAACCATTCTACAGTGATGCTAAACAGCACTGTTAGTGTGGATGGTTCGCTTTCTTGTAGAAAGTTGCTAGTGCCTTGTTTAAGATGATGTTTTGGGCCTGGGATCTGGTTCAGTGGTTCCGCGACCTGCCTCGCAAGCTCAAGGGCCTGAGTTCGATCCCTGGTATGAAAAAAAAAAAAAAAAAAAGGATGATGTTTCATCATTACACCTGGATATTACTGGTTCCACTTAGAAGCAGAGTAGGTTGGGTACCCTTACAAGAAAATCACCCTTCCAGGCCGCTTTGAGCTCAGGAATAGGAAATGGCCAAGAAGCCTTTTGTCTTCAGATGTGGCCTGGCTCCCACTGAGCAGTAATATGTTGAGAATTCGGGTTCACTGGGTCTCAAGCTCCCACAGACTGACACCACTCTAAGTCTTGCATCTCCCAGGAGCACCCACCTCTGCTCTGAGGGGAGTGCCATGTGGTGTGTCTATGGTAGAGGTGTTTCTGATCCTCTCCAGACAAGTCCGTAGGCACAGAAATGCCGGACCCAGGCTGCCAGTGGCCAGAACAGGAACAGGAAGTGTGGGGTGAGAACCACTCAGATCATTGCCCGGTTTATTTCATGTCTGAATTCAATGTCAAAACTGCTTAAAATTTACAAAAGATGCTAACTCTGTTTGGATTTTAAAACTGTTAACAGTGTTCTCCCTGCTGAAGTTGATTGCGTTTCCCTTAAACCATAGCTGTGTGCTGAACTTGAGCTTGAATTCCTGCACTTTGAAGGAAAGCACAATAGGGACTGACCATCCGGAATCACCATGTCGGCTCTGCCTGCCGAAAAAAATGCACAAGCTCAGTCCAGTGTAAGATTCTTCAAAACTGTGTTATTCCACTTGACTTTAAACATGTGGTGCCTCGTTTTGTCTTCATTTGCTATTGCCTGTTTTGTGATACAAAATAAACTTATTTGGGATTGTGTACTTTTTCACTGATAATTCCTCAAAGCCAACTTCAGCCCTTGGTAAACTTGGAAACAGTTACTAATCTTAAAGTTAATTTTAATTGATCCTTTTGTATAATCGAAGAGCTCTTTCAAGAATGAACTAGTTTGTCCTTTCTCCTACCTTTGAATGAGAGCCTGGAACACCAGCTGGTGTGTCGGAATGCTTGTGAGTTGATGAGTAGTCTTTCCAAGGGACTCTTGGGCAAGCCACACTTTTTTGCAACCCTAACATTTTGCTGTCAGGATTTCTTCTGAGCTCTTTTCGTCAGACATACACAGCCGCAATTTCCCATGGTCCTCACTTTCTGTTTTCTGCCCATGAATTCACTGGTCTTCAGTTTCCACTGGAGCTGTGTAGGTTTGGGGCTCACATTGCTGTGTACGGACGGATACCTGGCAGACACATTGTTTTCAGAAATCAGTTTCAGGCAAGGAGCTCATTCTATCTTGCATTGGGTCAGTTATGGAAGTTCAGGAAAGAGTGCGAGGAGGGGCATTACCCAGCCAGCCAGTAGAAACCAACTCTACTTCTCCCTGCCTCAGCTCTGAGGAACACAGACAC